TAAATTTTTAATGGTTTAAGTGGTAATCTAGAGATTTATATTTAATTTACATTTAAATAGTTTAATAGTACTTTTAAATTAGTTTGAAATACATAATTTTCGTACCATTGAAACATTTTGATATGATTGAGTCTTTTTTGCATCTAAGTCATTAATTTTTTCTATACGCCAAATGAATATTTTCCATTTCATTCTTCGTGCGTACAATCTTATCTATCGAATGTTTGATTATCGTACAATCGTAAACGAAAGCCAAAGTGTAGAGTAAGATAATACGTGAGGTAAGTTTCCATTAGAAATATCTCGAGAGATATTGTAACAGAATCAATAAGCTCTATTTTACAAATAGTAATGCAAATCCATTACTCAAGTTGTGCTCTCAATTGAGAGATTTTAATGATGTTATAACCTTTTTCGGTAACAATTTTTTTATGTTTGTGGATAGTAAATTGAAAAGAAAATTTAAAATTATGGAGAAGAGACTATCACTCGATTGTTCATGCTCTTTTTTCCAAGATTATTTATAAATCTAATAAATTTAATTTAAATTCTTAATTATAAAGAATCGATTAAAAATCTTAAAAACCTTAAAAATCTATCAAAAATCTTAATTAAAGAAGATCTGTATTTAAATCATGTTATAATGTAGTTAACATTTTAAAGATGTTTTCCTTTTTTCCTCATCCTAATATTGTAAAAACTGGATTAAACAGCAAACACTCACATGATCAGGATGAAAATATTAAAAAGACGTGTCCACAGGTTAAGGGTTAAAGATACTTGATGAGATGTAAGAAAATCAACAAGAAACGTAGTAGCGAATCGCAAATTGCGCACATGATTAATGATTATAGAGCGAATCGAGATTACGTGTCACGTTTTATTAATTTTGATACAGATAGATCATCTGAAAGCCGACTATCTCGACAATTACGAAATAGCCTGTTACATTTTCTTTCTGACAAATTGTTTGTCTTGTTTATTAATTTTAACCTTTAGACAAGCGACGTCTTTTAGTCGACCCGTACAATTTCAAATTTATAACTTAATGAACTTTGAATCAATCTATAGATTTGTATCTAGAAAAATAATGTTATTCTTATTTTGCTACTACAGCAGTTTTCTGCAACATTTTTTTGTCAGCATTTTTCCCGAGCAAGTTTATTGAATCTATATCATCCGAGAAATAATTTATTTGCATACGGTTTCACGAAGAAACAAAAAATGGTGAAATATGTGATAATTGAGGTTAATTGAGTATCATCCTCGTAAAAATTGTTGATCTTTGATCAAGTGTTAGTCTAACACTACATCGATGTGTTGAATTTATGTAAAGTGCCCTCAACGAGACCCGATTGGATTAAATTATGCTTCCAGGAACTGAGGTTCCTTATTGCCCTGTTGGCGATCAACGGATAAACATTCTTTATGCGTTTTGAATGAGTCTTCTAATCGTCAAACAATTACGTTGCGTTACGACGTATCATTAAACGATAAAAATTGTATGTTATATTTTATGTAAATGAAAAAAAAAAGAATATTAGCATATTTCGCGTACGCATGTTGCATCTATTAAAGCGAAACTGTACGCACGATTTACGATATTCACGCGATAATAGTGAGAATAATCGTGACTGATTAAAATTGATATCGTCCCGAAGATGAGAGAGGCACGCTATCGGGCAATGATAGTTCCTCAAATAGCAGGCAGCACAAAAGATAGACTGTCGTGATTCTGCATCTTCGTACTTCGGGCTAATCAAGCGGTTTAACGAGTGGCTACCGGATCGCGTTCACAGAATACCTAATTTCACGGTAGTTTGCTCACTGTGCATAGGCGCCGACTCGGGCGGAAATTTCAGTGAAGCGCGGATACGGACTTACCGACTGGTTTCGGTACGTTTCGCTTGACCTGCATCCATTTGTACGTCGGCACTTGCGTCTGCTGTTGCTGCTGTTGCGGATGGTGCGGATGCTGCTGCTGATGATGGTGCCCGTGCTGATGCGGATGGCCGGACTGCTGCAGAACGTGATAGGTCGTCGCGTCCGTGTTCTCCTCCTTGTAATGCCCCGGCTGGTGCGCGGAGAACTCGCTCTGCCGAATCTGCGTGTGGTACTGCAAAGGCTCGTCCGACGACGGCAATTGGTGAAGATAGTTCGAGGTACCGCCAACGGCTATTTGGTAATCGGGGTCGTGATGGTGGTGGTGGTGGTGGTGATGACTAGAGGACTGATGATGAAGTTGCTGATCGTGCTCCGTTCTCGCGTGACTAGCTTGAGGTACTGTGGTTTGATGGAGGTTGGTGGCAGCTGGCGGCGGATGGTGATGGTGGTGATGGTGATGGTGATCGTCCCGGTAGGCGGACTGCTGAACGTGGTAGTTCTGGTGCGGGTCCACCGAGGTTACCGCGTGTTGCTGTTGATTCGTGTACGATGAGGACGCGTAATCCAGATTGGTGTAACTCAGACCGTTCTCCGAGGAGATTATCGCCGTAGTGGAGGCGCCATCCTCGTGGAGAACGGCGCCCGTCGGTGAGTAGAAGCCCTGAGGTGGCGTGCTGGACGACGCGCCCGACTCGGCGGTTGGGAAACTCTCCGAGGACGACGAGGAATACGGCGCCACTGCTGTCTGGGGGTAGTAATGAGTTGGAACTATCTCCGGGGAGGCTGGCACGGACACGTGACCGCCGACGGATGATGACTGGTGATGATGATGGTGATGATGATTTCCTTGACCCGAGAACACGTAGTTAGGGTATGAGTCAGGCTTGCCGTAGGTCCCGTACATGCCCATGTCCATCATCATCATCCTCGTAACGGAGAGACGAATGCATCAATTGACCATCCACGGTCTTGTATCGTTTTGCTCTCTCGACGTGTGATATTCAAAATGAACGGAACGAGAGAAGCGATCTCTACATCTCGCTGAGAATCGTGCACTCAACCGGTCACTTCAACATCGCACATATCGTGTCGAATGATGTTGTACTTGGGAGTTTTATCACCAGAACTATGAACTTTCGAAATCTGTCCGATTAATAAACGGATTCTCGATGAGAACACAAAATTAGTTGGTACTCGACGAGAGATCTCAAGGCGAAACAATGTTCACGTGTAGTCACAGGTATGAATTAGGCGTCGAATCTTCAAGCGTAAGCCGTGGTCACAGGTGTGCACTGAAACGTCACGTCAAGGCTCACGTCGACTCAAATCTGTGAATCTAATGTAAACTTTGCGATGGACGTCCGAAATCCAAATCCGAAGCAGTCGGTATATTCCGGCGGTCCGAGCAATTAAATGTGCCGATTCCCAGGTACCACGGAACGTTAACCGTCGTCCGTGAAAGTAATTCATGCGGGCATTCGTGCGGTCGATCCGTCCGACATGGGTCGCTGAAGTGGACTAGCTTGGCGGAAAGCTGCACACAGGTGAGACCGAGTCGCAGCAGTGGTGGTCTGGTGTGTCCAGGTTCTCCTTCTCTCTCTCTCTCGCTCGGACGTATCGTCCAGAGTGGAAGCATTGCGCTGGAGTGAGGTTAGTATCAAGGGGAGTTCCACCGCCGGTGGGCGGTCGTGTAGAGCTGATCACGTGATAGGGTTTGGGCGGTGTCAGCCAATGGTGGGCGAGCCTGCGCGCCCCGAGTCCACTGCCTCATGATGGATCACCAGTGTGGATTTTATTTTTCGTTCCTTCTTTTTATCTGGCACGCTGCAGTTGACACTTATCGTCGCGGGTAGGAGTCGGGTATTATATCTTGGTACCCACCTTCTATGCTATCCGGAGGCAGGCAACCTCCGCCCTTCTATCCTGGATAGGTTGTTTTGTGCCTTCTGCCTTTTTTTCCTTCCGCTCTCTCTTGACGGATCCTTCTATGTGCTTGCGTGTCTCGCTCGCCTCAAGGTACCAGCATCCTGCGTTTTTATTAGAACCTGACGGCTGATGGTTTAATTATAGCCGCGGTCTATTTCGTTTTATTAGTCAATAAGAGAACCGGCTTGCTCTGCTACCGGACGACCATGCTTTTCCATTATTTAATTAATCGCATTTACAGAAATGTGTGTTTCCAAACGGGCAAGTAAATTTATGTAAAACAAATGCAAAACGAGAAGGATGTACAACTTGCATATAACTTCCGTGTGGATACTATTGCGTTGTCCGGAAAAAAAAGAAGGAAATTGAGGATGGATAATTTAATTTGGTGGCTGTGTCACGGTAATAAATAAGAAAGATATTTCGGCCAGGCACGCGACGCACGAAACAATTTGTGACTCTTCAGAGGGCTGGGATATTCATCATCTCCACGTCATCGAGACCCTGACATGACAATACACTACTTTTAAAGTTATAACGAAGGGCTAGGTCGCATCTTGCGCCATGTCTATAAGGATATGTTGACAATTCTATCAATTTCATGAATTCTTACGTCGAACAACTATCGTATTTATCGACTATTTATTTATTGACTCTGAATAAAACAATAAACGCCACGTTCTCGAAATATATTGATAGTGTTCACAAATATTGCCAAATGAATTCCTGATTATTGTACTCTCTTCCTCTATTGTTTAAATAAATTGTATTTTGATTGTTTTGTCATATGTTTGACTGTTCACTTTCCAATATTTTGTAATCAATAAAGTGAACCGTACAGCATCCGAAGATAAATTCAAGACGATCCTTGGCATAAGATCCGATTAATATGGAAGAAGATAATAACTTTGACTACTTCATAACACGTTGAAAATAATTTCTAAACTTGAGTTTACAGCACTTAGTCAGCATTGTTATCTCGGAACGCAAGTAAAATTTAATATCACCAAGAATGTCGCCTAATTTAAATACGCTGATCATATCGATTAGTAAAATATTGTTTCAAGTGTTGTTTAAGAAAAGAATCGTTAACATTTTGGCAACGGGAGGATCTGAGAAGGGAGGCAGGAGCTCGTTCGTCCGGAGAGGACGACGCATGACGGCACATATAAGATACCTCCTACCCCGTGCGAGAGCGCAGTGACAGGATGACACATTCCACCGTGAGAGTTTTAGAAGCGTGGTCCCGTATCAGCAGTTCAGTCAGAAGAGCTTATATCGAGGGCGCCACCTGCGGCCACCCGCGACATCCGTTCTGTCCCGTACATCAGTCCAGGGAATCTTCATCTTGATCGAGCCGTAGTGACGTTTGATAGTCCTGATTCCCGCCGTCGGCTAATCTTTTTCACCCGAACGCGCACTTACATATCTTATCTCTCTGTCGTAAGGTAATTCGAAGTTTTCGTACTTCTAAAGCGCCGGACGTGCCCCTTGAGATCGCATCGATATAAATAAATACCGGATGGCCGTCTGTATCGCGTCAGTCTTCAATCTGATTCCATCTCTTTTAGCAAATCTCGAAGGAGGGCATCGTTGCTGTTTCTTGGCATCATAAATTACATTCTTCGCTGATTAACGCGAAATTGAAATTTGCAGATGTGGATTTTTATATGCGAAAAGGGAGATTATATTATTAAAATATTTTCTCTTTCTTTATCACATCTCACTCTATTTCTTATAATTTAAGTATCGAATTTATCTAGCAAAGAATTGTAGTGGAACAGTCTATTTCCGTCTTTGTCCCGTCCTTTGTCCCGTTGAATCTTTTAATGTTAGCAAGATGACACAGTAGAAATGGGATATTATACGTGTTTTCGTGTCGATGAGATGTGTTATTGCTTGCCGGGAAAATGCTTGGGACGTGTTTTAACGGAATTTGCGGGGATAAAGCGGACAAATTCGTGTTTAGCCCGCTCTAATGCTGGATAAATATCAGTAACCCTCTTTTCGGACGGCGCGCAAACTCCGGTCGAGCTAATCCTGTTAAACAATTACAGTCTACTCGAACGTTCCAGTACCCGTCTTTCCGTGTGGCGCCACGCTGAGTTTTGACGTGGGATGAGGCACCTGCATTGTCATGCTGAGCTGCAGTCGTTCTGTTACAGTCCACGCTTTTATCTGCAAGCCACAATAACCCATCGCCTCCCGAAGTGTCGTCTTTTGTGTTGAAGCTCCTCCGTTTAGTCGACATTTAGTTGTTTACTTGTAGTCTAAACTGATCTTAATCTAAGCCTATGCGCAGTGATAAAGTAGACTAAAGCTGATGATATACTTATAGTGTAAGAAATATTGAATATTATATCTTCTGACGTTTCTCTTTCTCTCTCTCTCTCTCTCTCTCTGTCTCTTTCTCTTTCCTGGTGAGATGCATTAAGTAGCTAATTTAAAAATTTTCCCCACTATCTCACAAAGATGGTAAGAGAAATACCGAAGTGTCTCCAATGCCGTTAATTCTCCGAGAAATATTTACTTTCTCAAATATGCGGTAAAACTTGATTTCTGCCGACCGCTCTCGGATTATATCCGAAAAATGGACCCAACGGCGATTGTGCGATCTATTTGGATATCACGTTTTAAACAGCGTCTTTGAATATTGGACGACCTGTCCGTCAAAGGTTTTCGAGTCATAACAATTCAACGGGTGGCTACTGACAGACAGCTGTCTATTGGGAGAATCACACGGGATCTCCAGGAGGTTGCCGTCTTTATAAAAGTGATGCGCTGCACTCCATTGAAACGTCGTCGATATCCCGGGGAAAACGTCTCGAAGCCACGTGAAATAAGAGAATGGGAGGAGGACTCGGGGTTGGGGCTGAAATTTTCGGTGACTTTTCTCGAGGGAGAGAGAGACTCTTCACGTTTCCCTTCTCGTTGAATCCGTTCTAACTAACATCGAAATTCCTATTATGAGGCATTACGAAGAGATTACACGTTGTATAATATTTATTGTGTGACTCGATTGCGGTGCGCGTAAATCTCGTCCCAAACGTTCTCGCTCAATCGATCTTCCGGCCTCGAATTTTCCCTAATTCCACCCATTTTCGAAATGGCGTCCGGCTTTTTTTTCTTCCGTATAACGCTCGCACGAAATCGTATCAGGGACATGGGAAACCTAGCACAATGAAGTCATCGATCACTCTGCATGAGAGTTACTCGATTGCTGTTCTAACTGTGCGGGGGTCTTGTCGACTTGGGCCATAAATGTATATACGTAATCGAATAAATTCGCGAATAATAATGCTAAGCGTCATTTGTTCCGAAACACGTCGTGAATGACAAAACTTTTAACTCGGGCTATACGTGGACAGGGAAATTTTTTTGAGACAAAGGTAGCGAAATGACGGCAGGTTATGTCAGCAGGCACGGAATGACTTTGCAATGTTCTATATGGCATTTCATTCAACCTGACTCACAGGCCGGTCTATTGTACGTGTTGATCGTATCGTGGTAAATATTGAATAAATGTAATTAGGCGCTGGTGTTAGGAGGGCGCGTGCACGCGGTAGCGTTGTATTCACTCAAGCGATCCTGATGAGTATGTAATTTTTGTGGTGTCAGCGTCTCTCTCTGTACGGTGCGGCGGTAGTAGCGTGAGCAAGTGATGAAGGCAAGAATTAACCATTGTCCGCTGACACCGCTCCTTTACACCGAAAAGTAATGTAATATCAACAAGCGTGCAATTATATATTTTTAGCGCGTATAAAAGAGTCAATGCGTTCACATGGGAGATATTTGTTTTACAGGATATCTATACGAAACGTTACGGAATATTCATTCTTCATATTTCGCGTACGTGTGTGTTATATTTTCTCTCATATTTAATGACATGAAATCGATGAACGTGTGTCGTGGTAGGGTTGATGTTTGAGGGATTACGTTTCGTGCCCTACTACAACGAGAAGGTACGGCTTGGATCTGCCCTATGACGCACGAATATCA